TCATTATGGAGGGGGTCAAAACAAGTCAAAAAGTTCATATGACCCATGGTCCAAAAGTCAATAGATTTTTGTCTAAATGGCTCTATAGTTTACAACTTTAAGTGCTTTGTATCGACCACAATCACCACAATCTTAATAATTTTTATAACCTAATCTAAAACGTTTTTAGATTGGGTAATTAACAAATAAATGGCATTAAGTTTTTCTAAGTTAAGCCAAAATTTGTAGTCAGTAAGTTTCATTAAATTGAATATTTAAAACACACATGACAACAGCGCGTCGGTCGTTATCACTCTTATCGAACCAGCAATCGATCGCAAACGGTAACAGTGGTTAGTATGTTGTTTTGTTTTTGTTCGCGCATGCCGTCGTCTTGATTTACAATGCTCTCAAATCAAGAGTTCGCCGACATGTTGTTACTTTACGGTGAAGCTCTTCAGAATTCAAATCTTGCAGCTCAAATTGATCGCGACAGATTTCGCCAACGGGTACACCCAGACAGGACAGTTGTGCAAGTGTACCAAATACTTCGAGATACAGGAAGTGTTCAGCCCACTAATATTCGCAGCAGGAGGAACACATTTTATATATCGTGGAAATTAATGCAGATATCAGCAATTAGGCAGCCGCGTAGGACTATCGCATACCATAGTTCATAGAATCCTACGGGAAAATTTGCTTTATCCCAACCATGTACAACGAGTGCAGGCCTTGTTACCTGAAGACTATCCTCGCAGACTAACATTCTGTCAGTGGTTTTTGCACAAAAACATTGAAAATCCGGTTTTTTTTAAAAACATTCTAGCGACGGACGAATGTACTTTTACGCGAGACGGGGTATTAAATGTCCATAATACTCACACGTGCGCCCAAGGAAATCCTCATACCATTCATGAAGGTCGTAATGAAGCTTGTGTGAAAAGTGGAGGACGACATTTTGAACACCTTCTTTAAATACAGAAAAAGTGCAGTGTGGGTTTAATGTATGTATCAAAATTGTGTTCCCTATTTATAAGTGGATTTTTTAATACGTTCAATAAACCTTCACACACCAGGTGAAGCGCTGAGACAGTTAGTGGTAAATCCGTTTTTTTAATTGTTTGCATTTTACGAGTACATTATCAAATAATGAAATACTCAATCTTTGTTTTCACTGCGTTCCTTCGTGATTTGCGTCTGGCATTGCGGCGTTGTCAGATTTTATTTTACTTTAAAGTCGCTTTTCTCTAGAAAAAAAATATGCCGTTTTGACCCCCATGTTATATGAAACTTTTTGCTTCTTTTAACCCCCTTTATCACCCATTTAAATAATGACTATCATAACGTTTACACCCTGTAGTATAGGTCTGTTTTAGAAATCTCATTCGATTAAAACGTATACGAGTTCATTTGTTGGAAAATATACTCGAAAAAACAGTAGGCAAATATCAACCAATTGTGGTTACCTTACACAAGAATATGAAGTAATCTTAAAAAAATTATTTTCTTCGTAATAAAAGGTGATACACACATCCACTTTGTTTTAAAATGTGTATAATAACGTATGTATTTCGAATATCGTAGCGAATCTGTTCAGTTACTCACATATATGAAATGTTTGAATCTGCTTATAAGAAAAAAACGTAACTCTTCGTTTTTCGGACAAAAATAACAATTATCTTAGGGAACGGTTTGTTATTCACGTCGGCAAGGTAAATTCGTGTCTTTTGCTATAAAATGCCATTTGAACGGACTCTGTATATTGTTCAGTAAACTAGTAGTGATGGCCAGAAGACAGGTGTTTTGGGATAAACAATTAGAAATTCTCAAAAACTACTTGACCAATCGTATCCAATTTTGTTGTGGTTATTTAAAGATATGAAGCCTACGGATTTGGAGAATTTCAAGTAGCTGCGAGAAATTATCGTCGCATTAGCAACAAGTCCAAAACCTGCAGTTTGTTTCGGTTTCCGGTCGTAAGTTTTTTACTATTGGTCGAATCTCTTTACGAGTGGTCTCATTTTGTAAGTCTCACAAATACCTAAAAATCTTATTTGAAGAGTTTTTTTGTTCCTTAAAAAATAATTTCGGGGAAATTTGCTAATAGTGGCAATACAATGAAGTTAGAGGGACAACATTTATAGTGGGACACCCTGTACATTGAATCATAAGCAATTCAAAAGAACCAAAATGTTACAAAATGCTATATCAATCTTCTTTTGGAGGGGTCTACCTGAATGTGACATAAAATATTGGACATTCCGTTTAAAAGAATGACATGTTTTGATAATTTTGTATAAATTGAATGTAGCATATTACATATTCAGCTAGATCCTTGCAAGAGAAGAATACACTATGACGTTTTAACGATTGGGTGTTGAGTTGTAAGCAGTTTAATGTACAAAAAAGATGAAATTTGACGCTTACCAGTCCTCCATTTTGAAATATAGTGATTTCAGAGTTGGAAAGTACGCATGTAGCTTCAAAAGAGGTATTATATGACCTGCCCATGCCATTTAAAGATGCTTAAAGATAGCTATTCAGCTATTTTGAAATTTTCAAATTTCACTATTACACTAAAATATAGTATTCATGTAGTGCTTTCATTGCCCCAAATTTCAGCTAGCTAATCTCCGTTCAAAGTATAGATATAACTTCCGAAAAGTACTGTATTAAATACAATACATACAATAGGGTGGCTTATCTGCTACACCCAAATATATACAGGGTGTCATTTAGAAATGATTCAGCGGGATTTTGAATGTTTGCCATTAATTCCTATCTTTTGTGTTTACTGTATTTTCGTAAACAATTGATTTCATATATCACCATACGCAAGAATCTAATGGGTTAAAATCTGGACTTCTTGCGGGCCACGGTCTTTGACTTCCACGTCCTATACAGTTAAAATTAGCGTCAAGATATTCTCTCACCGATCTTGCAAAGTGCGTAGGAGCACCATCTTGCATAAAAACCCTATCTCGGCGCAGATTTAAAGGTAATTCTTCTAAATAATCAATGAGTTTTGTTTTTAAGAAGTTTAAATATAATTCTCCGTTCAGATTTGTAGGTAACTCGTATGTTCCCAAAAAAAATATCTATTACACCACACCAAATGTTAATTTTAAACTCGTGTTGAAAGTGTCTTTCAGTGAAGAGGTTAGGCTTTACAATATCCCATGAATGCTTGTTTCTAAAATTAAAAATTTCCCTTCGTTTAAAAGTCGCTTCATCCGTAAACATAATTTTATTTATATACAAGGGATATACAGGCATAAAATGATATGAAGATGTTCGCGATGAAAAATTCGCAAAACTGTTGATTTACTAACTCCAGTTCTTGCTGGCATACGCCTTACACTTATTCCTGGATCTCCAGCAACCTGGATTAACATTTCTTCTTCTTTCTTCACCCATATGTCTATTTGGACCCTGAATGAACCAGTTTCCCCAAGTTTCTGGTAAACGTCTTTAAAAAGTTTAAAATCTGGCTGCCTCCTATTTGAATACAATTGCGCATAACGATGACAAGCTCTTAAACAGCTGTAATTTTCTTGGGCATATACGCACACCATATCTCGCATTTCCGAATTTTAAAATAATGCATTTCTAGGCATTTTAAAGTAAATACACATCAATACACACTGAACAATGGAACTGATACTGAAAGCACGCAATAAAAGGTAATAGATTACGGTGTGATTTTGAATTTTTATAACTACTCATCAAAGTAACGGATAAGAACGTAAACCGTGACAATGGCGTTTATGATTCATCTCGTCAGGCACAGTCTACTTAAAGTATATTTAAAAATATTTTAACTTAGGAAAATAAAATTTTATCTTGAGTGCATTGAAAACGTAAATATCTGGAAAAGGGTGAATCAATGCGAGATTTTAAAGTATGCCTTTTTTAAGCAAACATGATTGCACAAGGCATATTTTAAATAAAAAATACATTATACCAAGCGTAAAAAAGTTACGAAGTTTAAAAACAGATAATGTTGCTGGTGGCGCCCTCTATAAGATAACTTGAAAAAGGTCAATTTTTAGATTTACCATATAAAAACCTTCATATGCCAAACTTTGTTAAAAACGAAGAATAAATGTTAAATTTATGGCATAATTCAAAAAAATTACAACAAGTTTATCACCTTCATCTCGGTTGCTTGTGACTTTCGGACTAAGAAAATTTAACTTATTCTCAATATTTCTTTGAAAGGAATCTGCTGTTAAATTATTTACTATTAATCATAGGTTAAGATCGTAACATTGTCATCAGGACAATGAGGAGAGTCAGAAATCCCGATTTTATGCAGGTGCTAGAGAACATTTTAAGTCTCAAGCGAGAAATGGTTAGACTTATTACGACGGAAGCCTTAATAGGGTATAAAAATACTACTCAGAAAAATTAAGGGAGCAAGAAAAAAATCCAAATATTTCAATGATTTTTGACAGTTACATTTCGGTAAAGAATGGTCGTATCTAGACTAAAAAAGCATTTTGAAGCTAAGTGTAAGTCACATCTCCATTCAATAAATTATAAAAGTGAAAAGAAGGTGTCCTGGTTTGCTGAATTTTTCCTAACGCCCACAGTATGTTTTCTAAAAAATTTCATTTTCCATCAAACATAGGGGTTCAATATCTCATAAAATTAATTTTTTATATTTAATTAAATACACGATTGAGCGTAAGACTGTAAACATTCCTTAATGTTCATTTTTCAGCAAAGACGTATTCTATATTACTGACATGTCACTTCTCAATTCAATAAATTATAGAAGTGAAAACAGGGTGTCCTGGTTTGCTGTACTCTACCTGACGCCCAAAGTATATGTTTTCTAAAAAAATCATTTTCCATCAAACATCGGAGATCAATATCTCAGAAAATTAATTTTTTATATTTAATTAAATACACGATTCAGCGTAAGACTGTAAACATTCATTAATGTTCATTTTTCCCCAATGACGTGTTCTCTATTATTGACCTAAGTGACAACCATAGAATTGGTTTTAAGTTACCTTCATCAGCATTGTTCTTATACCCATCTAGGGAACTTCCAGTGGTTGATGAGGCATGTTCTCCAACTAAGTTAGATGTAGATGCTTTGTATCCCAATTCCTCTTGTTGACAAGAATCGTACGAGGGTTTAGAAACTTCATCGTCTACCACTGTCAACAAAATCTTGCGCTGTAACTGCATCGACGTAATATACTCCCGTCCATCGGATAAACTACAAAAGAAACATATAATAAAAGCGGAGACACAACGTTATCTAAGCTGTGTTATTGTCATTTCACGTCAAATCAACCAGCTATGATGCCAACTCCCGAGCTATAACGCAAACTCACAACACTAATAACCCACCCTTCTGCGAGCAACTTACATTTTCATATTTGATTTTTGTCTGATTGCCCATTAGCTTTCTTGACGTAAAAGTAAGGTTTCTACGTCTATAGTCATGCATGTTTCTTCCACTCTCAGACAAAGGTAGAATCATGATTTACAATGTCTGCGCGGAAACAGGCTTAACTAGCCCGGCTCCGCCAACCCATTATTATGTTTACAACTAATAGATATTATAGCAACTTGTGTTTTTTATAGAATGCTACACATTTTATTCGATATTTGTATTCTGCGAGAAATTCTGAATACTTTTTATTGAACATATTTTGTCGCAGACCTTATAGTTTTCGAAATATTCGCGGTCAAACATTAATACTCAAACAATAAAACATATTTTTTTACCTAAGCAATGACCAGTATCGAAAGTAATTTACTATCATTTCTGACAATACATTGAGTTTTGTTAGTAGAGTTATTGAGAAAGATTCATTTAACTGAAACCAAGAGAATAGAAAATCTAATGAATATGGGTTATGGCGATCGTCGACGCACACAGCAAGAAGTTTTGAGGAAATTTGAAACAACAGGACATGCAAAGTATGTTCCACGATACCAAAACAGCCACGGACGAAAATAAGGCTCTGAATATTTTTGTGAGCACAGCGGAAAACCCCCACTTTTCCACTAGAAAACTTGGTGAAGATCAATACATCTTACATGTCTGTGGATCACATTTTAAAGACGGAAAAATTCCATCCTTACAGAGTCACCTTGGTGGACATGTGTAATGAAAATGAACATGTTTTGTACGAAATAATGTTTTCGGGTGAGTCAAGTTTTTCTTTGAACGGAACTCTTAGGCCGTATCGTCAGTCGTTCCTACAATTATTGCAGGACGCCTTTATAACCTCCTTGATTTTCATAGTCTTTCCTCTCCTTCAGAAAGGCTGGGATATTTCTAGCGCGATTCACTAGCGAATTTTTGTGTTACATTACATATCAGTACAGCGCTCGGCTTCAGTCAGTTGCCGCCTTTAGACATATTCCACTCATCATAGATTTCCCCGTACATTTATTCTTAAAACTCAATGAGAGAAATATTTCCGATCCTCGCGAGTCTATCATACGCTTCGCGGTCCTGCCGATGCATGTGTGTTGCAGTTGGCCTCCGGTGCTCGACTGGATGTGAAGCCATGGAATGTGAACCGATCATCATCCACGCCTGATGTACCCATAGTTTCGATCATATGCGCTAGCGGGGATTTTTCACAGATGAAGGGGGAAGACCGTTCATCGACAAGACATAACTTTTGTGTGAAAGCGTAACCGCCTCCAAACTTTTTGGAGGGCGAGAGAGAGCCTATTTTCTCCAGAGATCCAAATCCTAGAGCCCCAAAAATGTACAAAAAACCCTGGTAAATATGCAAGTTTTAGTTGTACGAGTCTGTTTGACATAGTCAGTCGTTCCTGCAATTGTAGGACGCCTTAATGACCTCCTTGATTTTCATAGTCCTTTTCTTCTTCAGAAAGACTGGGGTATTTCTAGATTTCTACTGTTCCATGTCAGCGTCAGCGCTCTCTTATTGTGAGACTATATTATCTTTTTGAATTGTATGAAATTTCAGGCTCATATAATAGATGATGTAAGTCAAATGCATGAACAATTTGATGCAAATAGATATTTGTAATATAACTTCAAAATAGAGCGCTGACACGGATCAGTAGAAAACTATGAAAATCAAGCAGGTCATAAATGCCTAACTCGAGCCGTTCAATTTTTTTGTTATACATTTCGTAGTTAATTTTTTTCTGAAATGGTCCAAATTATGCTGGACATAAAATCCTTTATTAAATGATGACAGCATTGTGTAGGAAGTGCAGAGTCAACCTACTTGACGCCATTTTTTTTGTTTTGATAAATTAGAACATACCTAGCAAACATTTCCTTTGCAGCTCTCCTAGCCACCTTCTCATTCTGTGTCATTGAAATGCATGATTTGACATCCATGTAGTTGTGATCTGCAATGCCTCTGCCATTTTGCAAACATTGCTTCAGCAGGTCTGTTGCTTCAGAATTGCCCTGTTGTGATGCCTTGATAAGCCAATAAACACCCAGCTCAGCATTCTCATTTCTGGTAGACTCAAATTCTAGAATAGAAAAATGTCAAATATACTGTCATCACCTATCTATCTTTAAACAACTTTTCAGAACAATGGGAAATTTTCACAATGTTTTATGAGTGTTTTGTCTTTTTTGTATCAACAAGAGGTAACAAAACTTGCTTCCAAAGTTCATAATGAAAATAAATCCAACGGTATTAACCCGTTCGCTGCCAGTAAAATGTTGTTACATGTAGTCAGAGGCCATGGCGACACTGGCATTACAGGTAGAATTTTGGACGAACCGCGTAAGTAAAAGTTCTCAAAAATGTCTAGCCTGTATGCCTATTCACCGGTCCGAACTATACTAGCGGGCCACCTGAACTGAAGCACATATAATAATGATCATTTCTAGTCACATATTATCCATATCATTATCCAAGAGAACCGCACAAAACATTATGGCAGATGGGTCTACAGTGAAATTGGCTGATGTAGTATGATGTTCAATATGGTTTCTGATAAAATGCCTCCATGGACCCACAATTTTCTAACGGCCAGTTTTAGAGATAGCAAGGACAAAATATAGGGAGTACAAGTACGCAGTAATATATTTTCTTCACCATCATATGTATACAGGGTGTGTTACTTAAGCGTATGCGGAGGATACGTGCTCTCTAACTTAAAATTATATGCTTTGTTTTAGGACAAGTTTGTCATGTCAGAACACTTGAAAAAGATGAAAAATATTAAAACATTTAGCACCAGCTGCAGAGAATATAATTTTGAGACAACACAATTTGAAAGGTTTTTCTAATGATGTTTTTGGATCATAGTATGATTGATTTATTATTCGGGATATTGGGGTTGATTATTGTATTTTTATTGTTTTTATAATCCAATAAATAGGATTTTCTTTCATTTGTGAGCCCGGATGATGAAAGCACATACAGGTGGTTTGAACCATCTAGGTGCATCTTTCTGTCATCAGGATGTCCTTGATGAAGAGGAATTATATTGTTTTATATTTATGTTTGTTTATATTTTTTGTATATAATCTTCATTGAATATTAAATAAATGAATAAATAAATAAATGTACACGTATGACCTCAAAGGGTTTAGATATCTCTTAAATTGTTTAAGATACACCGTTCTAGATTTCACGGCTCTTTTCAGCTAGAAAAGCACCATTTGAAGCAGTGTTCAAAAGTTTTCTTTCTTCTACCACGCCGTATCACGCTCAGTTGTCAATCTGATAGTGATTCAAATGCACATATATACTAAATGACATAGAAAATGCAACACCGACTAGAAGTAATTTTGAACATATACTAAGTGACATATAAATCCGAACACCCAGTTTAAATGGTTTTATTTTAATAAAAGTTGGTGAATGTATTTGTCTTACTGTAAATAACAAGTGAAAAAATTTTCGGCCTTATCAGTTGGACATTCCGGCTTTTATACTGCTTTTTTTTAATTCACTAACGCTCTAAAAATGTATATTTCAGCCGCAGTAAAGAATCAACATTGGCGGATTTTGGTTCTTGGCATCCTTTACGATCGGTTACGATGTCTAGAGTACGGAGACCTGTACGATTTCGTCAACTTAGTGAGTTTGATAGGGGCCATATAGTGGGACTTCGGGAAGCTGGACTTTCTTTTCGGGCAATTGCAAAGAAATGTAGACACTGTGGTTAGATGTTGTCAGGCATGGCTTCGAGAAGGCCGTACGCAAAGAGCAAGGGGCACTGGACGCCGCCGTAGAACAACAGACCGTGAAGATCGCCGCCTAAGATTATTGGCCTTAAGGGACCGTTTCTCCACTACCAGATCCATTGCAAATGAATGGTTTGCAGAACACGGAAGACCTATTGGCATGCGAAGTGTTTACCGACGAATGAGAAGTTTTGTCTCGTTTTCATACCGTCCACACTGGGTCCTCCCTTTAACTCGAGAACACCGACGTAATCGCCTTGAGTGGTGCAGACAACGGTCACTCTGGGATTAGGAATGGAACAGTATTGTCTTTAGTGACGAGTCTCGATTTTGTTTAGGCATGCACGATGGTCGTGCCAGGGTTAGAAGGCGACGTGGTGAAAGGAGGAATCAACAGTTTTTTGTTGAAAGACATGTTCATCACACTGTTGGAGTTATGGTTTGGGGTGCTATAGCTTATGGTTCCCGACCACATGTTGGAAGAGTCACAATAGACTTCTTTCAACATAATGATGTCACATTGTTACCATGGCCACCAAGATCTCCCGACTTATCCCCAATTGAGCACGTGTGGGATATGATGGGTAGGAGATTGCTCAATTTGCAACGTCCTCCTCAGACTCTAGAAGCACTTCGAGAGGAGTTGGTGGTTGCCTGGAATGAGATACCACAGGAGGACATTGACCACCTGATCAGAAGCATGCCTAGGCGCGTTGGAGAATGCGTAGAACATCAGGGTGCATCCACACATTATTAAAGGTCAAAGGGCTTTAAAGCAGTGCAATCATTTTGAAATTTTTATCATTTACTTATTATGCTTCATTAAGTACTTATACAAAATTATGAAAACAAAACCATTTAAACTGGGTGTTCGGATTTATATGTCACTTAGTATACTTTTACAAGTTTTAGGTCTACTGATAAATAGAAAGTGATTAAAATTTTAACTCGACATTGCGCAAAATAGCTGAGATTTGCCACCTTAATGCTGATCATCTGTTGAAACTCCTCTGTTCGCTACACATTCGTTAAGTCGTCGAGGCATTGAATGGATTAAGTGATTGATGTCTTCTTGGTGTATTGTATCGCAGGCCATCTGAATTTGGGTTTCGTATAGCCTCCAATGTATGTGGAGGGTGCGGTGAATCTTGCAACCTTGTTCCCATCATGTCCCATACATGTTTGATGGGGGAAAGGTCTGGAGATCGAGGAGGCCACTGAAACAGATTTACTCCGGACGCTTCTGAAAAGTCTAAACTAACACGTGCGCCACGAGGTCGTACATTGCTGCTGAAAAAGTGGATCTTGCAATGTTTCCAAAAAGCAGTCATGCTACCTCGAATGAACACTAATCGTGAGCTGCTCCCGTAAGCAATGGCACCTCATAGCATAACACCCGTGCGATGAATATGGCGTTCGATGAAACATTTACCACGACTTCTCCTCACTCTTGCACGGCCATCATGTGTGCCCAACGAGAATCTGGACTCATCTCTGAACACGAATGAGTCCCATTCCATATTCCATTCAAGTCTCTCCCTACTCCATACCAATCGTTCCCGACGATGCTGTAGGGTCAGAGGTAGTACAAGATGGGGACGGTATGAAAAGACCTCATTTGGCGATAACCTGTCCTCATTGTTATTGCCCTTCCGACAGCATCAAACCATTGGTTTGCAACTTGTTATGGAAAATCGATCTCTAAGAGCGATCCTGTCGCTCTGAAGTCTGTCTTTGATGTCCAACACCTCTAACTCGTCGATTTCTGCCTTCTCGGAACCACGCTCGACAACATCTCATTACAGTAGCCGATACTATCCAACCCCTCTCAAAATAGGAAAGTTGAGTAAAATTAGCGCGTCTGCGAACTCTAGGCATGATAATGCAATGAAACAAATTGAACCAACACAGAAAAATCACTGAATATTAAGTAAACATGTTCAAATTGTTCGAATCCAGATATGACAAAAAAAAGCCTTTACTAAAAAGTTTAGCTTGGAATACCTTCAACATTTTATCATCGTATACTTCCATGATAGCAAATATGTTTTTATCAAAATTCAATAATTCTGGGTGTTGCATTTTATATAGTATTTTATTACATATTTGTTTTCTTATTTTTATTTATTTATTTTTATTTTATACATAATTGCCCAACAGAACTATTCCAATTAGAGGACAACATAATGGTATCTTTACTTATAATACATACATATAATGTATACATAAAACAAATTTAAAAACAGAATTAGCTATTATAGTACCTGAAATTCGACAAGATCTTACTGATACAATCAAAATTAATGTCAGAACTGTCTGCTATGGCATTAAATTGTTGCATATAGAATGTTGCGGAGAATAAAATAATACATTGGTACGGGAGGTACTGCAGTAGAAAGTTAGAGTTCTTCTCGTATTTAACCGTGGAATACAGAAATTTAACCTCTGGAGAAGTTCTGGTGCATCCACTCTGTCGTGCAAAAGCTTATGAAGGAATGACAGGCCAGCAGTGGAACGTCTTAACTGTAGAGACTCTAGTTCAAAACGACGCAGCAGAACAAATTGAGAGACCCCCCTTTCTGGATATGTGCCATCGATTTTATAAACACAGTATTTAAGAAATTTTCTTAGTACATTTTCTAAGATGTTTATATAATACGCATAGAAAGGGTTCCGTGTCAAAGAAGCATACTCAAGTTTTGGTCGGACCAGTGAAATAAAAAGAGCTTTTATTGCTGCTTCGTTGGAAAAAGATCGGCTGTTACGCATTATGAAACCCAGAATCCGTGTCGCTTCGGAAGTGACGCGTGCTACATGGACAGAAATGTCCAATCTACAGGAAGATGTTACACCAAGATCTTTAGTCTCTGTTTTTCTCTCCAAAACCGCATTATTTATGGAGTAATCAAACATAATTGGGTTCATTTTACGACAATATGAACATACTTTGCATTTGGAAATATTTAACTAAGTTCGATCTAAAATTAAACTTCTTTTTGATTGATACAGCACTTCATGCGTCCGTGGCTTTTATCTGCCGATAATATCGCGTTGTTCAGCATTTTTATAGTAAAACAATAAATGCCTGTCAATTGTTTATTTAAACTAAGAACAAAGTAAGTGCAAACACTGCAAATGTCAATGAAAAAATATTAAATGAAATGTTCAAAGTGTCAGCCTCCGTGATAAATGCATCGCCTGATTCTCTTCTTAAAATTCTGCTCGACATTTTTAAGAATCTCTGGACTAAATTACCTAAAGGCGGTGGTTATCCGCTCCCGCATATTTTCGATGGTAGTGGGAGGAGAAAAGTATTGTATCTTTAATA